TTTCAGTCTGTGAGTTTCTTTTTGAATTAAGTGTGTTTCTTGTATGCAGCATATTGTTGGATCTTGCTTCTTGACCCATTCTGCCAGTCTATTTCCGTTGATTGGTGAATTAAGACTATTGACCATTGACATCCCCCTTTGCATTTAATTTCTTGTCACGCCCAATGGATTCATTCTGTTGGGCTTCCTGGGGTTGTGATCCTCATTGTCTTTTCCTAGGATATTATCTAAAATTCTTGGAGTGCTGGTTTGGTATTCATGAAGTTCCTAAGGTGCTCTTTGTCATGAAAGTATCTTATTTCTCCATCAGTTTTGAAAGATAGTTTTGCAGGGTACATTAATCTGGGTTGGAGGCTGTTTTCCTTTAGGGCTTGAAATATGTCACTCCAAGCTCTTCTTGCCTTGAGGGATTGCTTTGAGAAGTCTGCTGTGATTCTGATGGGGTTTCCTTTGTATGTGATTTGTTTCTTTTCTCTGCAGAATTTTGTTCTTCTGTTGGGTTTCTGGAATCTTAACTATTATATGCCTATGTGTAGTTTTTTTTGATCAAGGCTAATTGGAGTCCTATATCCTTCCCTTATCTGTATGTCAAGTTCTTTTCCCCTGCTTGGGAAGTTTTCTGCCATTATTTCTGTGAACCAGTTTTTTATGTTGTCTGCACCCTCTCCTGTTTCTTCACTGACTCCAATCAGTCTTATATTATTCTTCTTTGCATTGTCTAGCAGCTGCTGGATTGATTTCTTGTAGTCCCTTACTGTTTTAAAGAAACTTTTCTTTTCCTGGTCACTAATTGCAATCTTCTATATCTGAAATTCTATTCTCACATTGGTTCATTCTGCTGTGTAAACTTTCAATGGAGTTTTTAATCTCCTGGAAATCTATTTGTGTCTGTTTTATGGATTCCATTTGTTTCCTATGTTGGGATTCCATCATGTTCCTCAGCTCCTCTATTTTTTTAGTCTGTGTCTGCTCTAGATTTGTTAATCATGTCTTACACGATGGGCACAATCTCTGCTGTTATCTGAGAAATTGCTTCTGATTTCATTTTTTCCAGATCCTCTTTTGTTGCCTGTTCAGGGAGTCCAGGTCGTTGAGCATCAGATTATTCCATCTTATTTCCCTTTGGGGTTGCCTTAGGTGATCTGGAAGTCTGGTTTTGAGACTTGTTTACATGTCTTCTCATTTCAACAGATGCAGCCTGCTGTGCCTTTGTTGAGGCAGCCTTTTGCTCACTCAGTGGTCTTCAGTTCTCAGCAAGCCACAAAGCAGCCTTTTCTCTGCTGCTCACCAGTACACCAGTTCCTAGGTTCAGAGTGCTGGCCTCCTGGATCTGTAAGCTGACCTGTTGTTTGGGTGGGCTTCTGGCTGGGGCCTGTCCACACTTGGGATGGTATCCTTTGGCTAGGGCCCCTATGTAGCTGTTGTCTGGGAAGGCCTTTGGCTGAAGGCTGTGTACCCCAGTTCCTGTTATGTGAGCAAGCTTCTGGATAGGGTCTTGCGCACTTACCGATGGTATCAGGGTGAACCTCTGGCTGTTGCTTGTGTGCCTGTGGAGCTCTTTTCCAGGCAGGCCCTTGGCTTGGGCTGGTGTGTCCCAGCCTCTGAGGTTGGGGCAGAGCCCTGGCTGGGACCTGCTTGCAGCCATGCCACTCTGATCCACACCGCTGCTCCCCCAACTAAGGTGGTCTGGTGTGCCTTTAATGCAGTGATTTTCTTCACTTTTCTGGTGGGCTTTTAATTTTCATCAAGGGGCCTCAGAGAGGCCCTCTTTCTGTTGTTCACTTCTGCTCTAACTTCTCGAGCTCAGAACAATGTCCTTTATGACCCCTGTAACTCTGTGGTGTGGATCCAGGTAATGGCTTGGCACAGCCACGGGGCAGGGGGTGCTGGCATCCACATGACTCACCTCCTCTGCACTGGGGCAGGGTGGCTCAGTTCCTTGGTGCTCTAGGGTGGTGGTACGGCAGCCTGAAAGGCCCACCTCCTCTCAAGATCTCTTTAAAATAGACAAGTTGTCCAAGTAAAAGAACTGGGAAACCTAACGAAGTATGAAGTAGTTAAGTAAGGATCCCGCAATTCTGAGGTGCCTCTGAGGAACTCCATAGTGAGTCATTTTTAAATAAGGCAGTGTGAGTATTTGACAATCTTCTTATAGACTAGAACTACAGGATATGCCCACATGCCTATTTATTATGTCCAACTGTGTTCTTTGATTTTTTTGATAGAATTCATTAAAGATATCCCACATTTACATTCATCGGGAAGATAAATTGGGTCCAGTGAGCCCAAGAAGTATGGTCTGTGGTTGCCCATGACCAGTGACCCTTATCTGGGATGCTCTCAGCATCACCAAGAGCTTTGTCAAGAAAACACTCACTGCCCCTGGAAGACCTGATGCAGGAGGTCCAGGGCAGGACCTGGCTCTGTGCTTTTTTTTGGTACCAGGGATCGAAATCGGGACTTTGTGCCTGTGAGGCAAGTGTGGTGCCACTGAGCTAAATCTCTGCCCACCCACCCTGTGCTTTTTGCTTTGGAGTCTGACTCCATTGATGCTGATAAATAAATTACAAAGACCAGGCACTATTTGTACAGAAACATTAGGGACTTCATGATTCGGTTTATAGAATGGTTGGTCAGGTGAGTAGCGAAATACTGCTAAAGACCAGCTGCAGGAGAAGCCTGTTTATACAGAACTACAGGAGGACGGGGAGGTTTAGGTTGTGACCTGCATAACAGTCTCCTTCTTGGTACGTGCCCTGCAGACAAGTAGCACTCAGGACCTACTAAGAGTTGACATTTGGGAGAAGGGGCAGGAAGGACATGCAGCACAGGGTGGCGTGTAGAAGGACCACCTCATTTCTCCTAGCATGGGTCACTTGTTACCTGAGGTTACCATGTTCACCTTCCTGTCCTCCACCAGCAAGTCTGAGTCAGGCGTCTGAAGTGGGCCGCCACACAGGAGAAACCCTACTCCTGAGTACAGTGTATCTCCGGGCTCCTTGGTGGGCTAGGGAAAACTTGAGCTAGGTTAAAACAAAAGTGGGTTTCCCTCTAAGAATGATGGTACATTGTAGGTAGAGAATTGACCTAAAGATGGGAGATTAAAGAAGGACTTTCCAGACTAAGAAGTGTACTACCTTGGACTAGTTACCGCTGGTTTTTGTCTTAGCGCAGCACTGTGCAATCTGATAGGCTTGGGAGAACAATGGGAAGATCCTGAGGGGAGCAAGACCTGAATTGGAGTGAGGTCTGATCCCAGGGAGAGAACAGAAAGCCTACCCAGCTACTGAGAGTCTTGGGTGAGACAGTGACCTGGCTCTTCTGGGATGCATTTGGAGTCACTTAATTTTTTGTTTTGTTGTGTTTGTTTCTAGAAAGGGTCTCACTATGTAGTTCAGGCTGGCCTTGAATTCACTGTGTAGCCCAGACTGGCCTCATACTCACAGCAGTCCTCCTGCCTCAGCCTCTCGAGTGCTGGGATTATAGGCATGTGCCACCATGTCTGGTTGGAGTGACTTAATTTTAGAGCTAAACAGATTATCAAGCCATATGAAATTGAGGTCCTGATTTTAATCACCTTTGTGTTTCTTATGGTAATTTGCACCCAATGAATGCTCCATCAGTGTGTACCAAATACCAGATAATCATGAAGTAGTTACTTAGAGAACTATGAGTAAAGACTGAGAGCCAGCTGCAGGCTCCCCTTCCCCACAGTCCTTCTAGCAGATATTTTCTCTTGTTCTCTTGTAAGTAATTCACCTCATCAGATGGAAGCTTACATGTAGATAAAAGGAGGACTAGAATCCACCTGAGTAATGGAGATGCTAAGGGAGTTTGGGAGCCTCAGCAGTGGTATTTCTGGGAAAAGCACTGAAAAGAGAGCATTGAACTTCGAATGGACATAATGCATCACCGAAATGTTGAATATAGACACCCACACAGGCCTTGCTTTGACTGTATCCCAAATATCCTGATCTCTCTTATGATAACATTTCTTTGTCCTCATTGTGAGTCTTAGAATACTATGTTCTGCCACTGAGTAATCTGATTTCCACTTAGATGGCATCTTCTAGTACCTACCTCTCATTTCCTCTCACTTTACAGCTGTGAAGTTTTGCCTGTGGACCCCCAGTGGCTAGTGAGTTTAGGGTTGAGTGCTATCACGGACCCCCAGTGGCTAGTGAATTTAGTGTTGAGTGCTATCACTGCTCGGGAAACTGTTCTCACTAAAGATTTGTTTCCTCTCATAGGACACCATGAAACCCCACTGTCTGCATCTACCAAGATGCTGGAGAGATTTCCCAACAATCTGCCCAAACATCGGGAAAATGTGATTCCTGCTGACTTGGAGAAAAAGAGCTTTGAGGAAGTGAGTTAGGAAGTGAACTGACCAGCTGCTGGCTCGTCCCATGAGGTGTTGGGATTATAGCCCTTGCAGTAGAGGACTACACCAAAATCCATAGTAGACGAGATAAGTGGCCAAGGGCGGATAGGATGCAACAGGAAGAGGGTGGAGAGAGAAAGTACAGAAAAGGCAACAGGATAAGCTAGACGTGGAGGAACAGGTGGGATTTGGCTTATTGAGCGGGAGCCAAAAGGCAAGGCCACAGTGAGGTAGGGATGGGAATAACACTGGAATGCATAGTGGTGGGCTGTGAGGAGATGGCTGCTGGTTAAGGAACAGTGGGAAATGAGCTCACATGGACACAGAGGAACCATGTTGACAAGTTGGGCAGAGGAGTAGAGTCCAATAAAGAAGAGACGAGACCTACATGTAAGAAGCTAGGAGCAGCCCATTGAAAGTGGCCTTGTAACCGGATGTGGTAGTGCACACCTGTAATCCCAGTCCTGAGGAGGCTGAGGCAGGAGGATTGCTGCAAGTTGGAGGCCAGCCTAGGCTACATAGTGAGACTCTCTCAAAAAAACAAGAAAGTTGGCCTTCTTTGGCTGCTTGATATGGCAGAAGCTTGGTCTGGCAGGGCCCTGGGGCTCCGAGAGAATGGAGCCTTTGGTAGTGGGGAGGCCATCCCAGGTGGTAGTTGCTGTGAGACTCTAGTGTAGGCTGTATGGGACAGGGTGTATCATTAGAGTCTCTGCTGAGAAAGATGGCCCGCCTAAATTAGAGGAGAGTTCAGTAGTGGGATTTTCACTCAGAAGTAGATAGTACCAGGGTTCTCATAGCATCTCTTGGCCTGAAGGCAGAGGGGAGAGTAGAAAGTGCTCCAGGCCAGGCTCCGAGAGTATGGGTAAATGAATTCAGCAGCCCCACTGAACTCAACCACAGTCTCCTTCCTTTATCTCCTCTCCTGGTGCTTCCTGTTACCTTCTCCCAGTCAGAGACCAAAGGGTCAGAGAGGTCTTTGTCCAGGTCCACACAAGTCAGCTCTGGGGCACAGAGCAGGCGCTCTGTGGCAGAGGACCCGATGTGACGAGCAGAAGGGCTAGAGGGTATCCAGAGGCCTTGTGAGCCATTCAGCCTGGCAGTTCCTGCAGCCCCACCATTGGGCTGGGGGTTGGTAATGGAGAAAAGGCCTGGGGATGGGTGGAAGAAAGAGAACAGCTGCTGATGTGGACAGGAACAACACACTCACTTGCGTGTGGTCTTTCTGGAGTCCAGGGCACTGTGTGTAATGTCTATCACCTCTGGAGATACCCAGGTTGGAGAAATACACCGATTCTTAAAACAGCAATCCTTTTTTTTTTTTTTTTTTTTTTTTTTGGTACGGGGGATTGAACTCGGGTCCTTGCGCTTGCACAGCAGGTGACAAAACCACTGAGCTAAATCCCCGGCCCAAAACAGCAATCTTGAATAGCATTGCCCTAAAATCTTATTTAAGCTCCGAGTATGTATTATTGAACACTTAGAAAATAAAACTATAAAGAAGAAAATAAGACAGTAAGTACCCTTAATCTGGTACCAGGGATGGAACTCAGGACCTTGCACTTGCCAGGCAGGCGCGGCCCCACTGAGCTACATCCCTGGCCAAAACACCCTTAATCTAACACACAGCTAGCTGGCCACAGCAGTACAGATTACTTTTTCTTTTCTTCTTTCTTTCTTTTTTTTTTGTATAGAGATTGAACCCAGGGCCTTTCACACTGAGCTACATCCCTAGCCCTTTAAAAAATTTTTTTCTTTTTTGGAGACAGGGTCTCTCTATGTAGCCCAGGCTGGCCTCAAACTCATGGCGATCCTTCCGCCTCAGGCTCCCAGGTGTTGGGGTTAAGGCATGCACAACCATGCTTGGCTCTAATTTTTTATTGTGAGACAAGGACTCGCTAATTTGCTAAATTGCTTAGGCTGGGTTTGAATTTCGGTCTTCCTACTTCAACCTCCCAGATTGCTGGGATTACAGACATGAACCACCATGCCCAGCTTATAGTCTGGATTTTAATATTTAACCATCTGATCTTAAAAGGTCTTTTTAAAAACCCATCAAAATATTCTTGGATATAACTTTAAGGTAATGAGACCAACTTTTTAAACAAACACTGTTGAGCAGATATATCTAAAGGAGTATTGTCCCTGTCATATACTCAGCAAACATTCCTCAGCCTGCTAGGCAGCAGGCAGGCCACACCTCCCAAACCTGTGAGAGACACGGAGGGAGGCAGGAACAGAGAAAGATGTACCTGGAAGGGCTCAGGGAGCAGCTGGAAGGGGAGAGAATGGCTTCAGAAGCAGACATCTGGTGTGTTAAAATGCCACAGCATGCAGTAAGTCAATGCACATCTCCAGGAGGCTGTTAATTTCTTGGGGCAAACACTAACATCCTACCTGGAACACTAGGTATTTGAGAGGAAATCAATACATTTTTCTAAAAAGTTATAGAAACCAGGCATGGTGGCACATAGCTCAGCTTGGGCTAGTGAGTTCGAGGCCAGCCTGAACTACATAGCAAGAGCCTATCTCTCTCAGTCAGTCTCTATTCCATGAAGTTCAGAGATTCAGGGGGGCTCCCTTTTTATTTGATTAATTTGGGGCTTCTAAATAAAATTTTTTTTAGCAAAGACTAAATGCTTTCTGATACTTTTTTAAAACTTTGGAAAAAATAGAATTTTTGAATTGTTTAGTTTTGGAGTTGCACTGAAAGTATATAGACTAACGAGACAGGGGCTTAGTTACTTATAGGCATGTGCCTGCCCACGTGGGCGGCTTTCCTTTTGAATGTGAAAAGGTATTATCAAAATGACTACCAATTTTTCACCAAACTTTGTTACAGATGATTTCAGTTTCCCCAAACACCAAGTCTCCATCAAAGGAAGAAATTTTTTCTGCCTTTATTGAGGATTTTCAAAAGAATGTTAGAGTCTGAAGGCATTTCCAAAAATATTTCTCTGACATTGGTTTTTGAGCAATAGTAACCAGCGTAAAAAAGCATGACCTGTCAGAGCACTTGCTAGGAGAGGCAATAATTACCTGATTAAGTAATTTTGATGAGCTAAAACAATCTATTACAATGTGTACCCCGACATTCTGAATGGGGATTACTTCTCTTGATCATTCACTTCATGTGTATCTGGCTGGAAGTTCTGCAATGATGTAGTGACTTTCTCCCATATAAGGTTATCAACCTGGTTGACCAGACCTCAGAAAACGCACCCACCACCATGTTTCAGGATGTGGAAGAGAAGTTGGCTCATGCTCCCGCCAAGCCTGAGGCCCCTGTGGACTCCATGCTCAAGGACATGGCCACCATCATCCTGAGCACCTTCCTACTGGTCGGCTGGGTGGCCTTCATCATCTCCTACCCACTGGTAAAGCTCAGCCCCCCCCCCCAACCTTTCTGCTTCCTCCTAAGCTTTTCTGCCAGTCTCCTTCTATCAGTGAGATCCACAAAAAAACAGCCAACACATTTTTTTTTCACATTTAGAAGTCAATATTTGCTTGTCTTCAAAAACTTTATAATTGAAGAGATACCAGCTTCTCAGAAAAGGACAGTTTTGAACCTAAATTTAGTATTTTTTTTTTGGTACCAGGGATTGAA